TTTGAAATGACCTCCGAGGTATAACGAAAACTTCCGGTCTAAATACTAATAAGTCAAGATTGCTAAAACAAGAGTAAATATGTTGACCTTTGAGCTGATGTTTAATATATTGTCACCTTCCTCAAAAACATATTGCTAAAACAAGAGCATTTTCAAACTTATATACTCTAACTCCTTATTAATCTCAAAGCTTTCTAGCGTTAGACTAATGACAAATAGTCCATCAACATGGATAACTTTCAAATTCACTTTAGAAGATATATCTAAAGATTGAAGGGCCCCTTTTCAACATGTATTAATCCTCAAAAACAAAAACCCCAAAATAACTCCCCAGATGACTTTTTGTATGAATATACCAAATAAAATCAAATCAAGCTATAAGTCAATGTTTTTTTGTTGATTTTATGTGAATTTTTGGTTTGGCTTGAACACTGCTTATTTCAAGAAGGTAGGTTTCCCATCCAGAATTACGAGTTAGGCAAAACCTGCTTCAAATCTATGTAAAGCTAATGATGCCTTCTGAAATAAAGAGGAGAGAGTGGTTGTCTCGTTGACTTTGAGCTTCAAGATAATGGTGTTGAGATCCATAATGTCTTGGTATAAATAGCACTGGATGAATATGATTCCTTGTATAATTGCATAAAGCGAAGACAAATATAGTTCTATTCTGTTTTGTAGAAACTGATCAGTAAATGCATATATAAAAACTCGCTTAAAAATGAAACAAATTCTAACCTTCACAAATGGAGCCCATTGTTCAACATATAAACCACGATCATATCCTCCAAGTGCTGAAAATATAATTGAACCACACATTATCACAGCCTGATTAAGCTTCAATCCAGGACAAACAAATTAATGAAGTAGGTTTCATACATTCCTAAAGAGAGAAAAAGTGGAAATGTCAATTCTTAACCAAAGAAGCTTTCCAACTATTGTTGGCAGATAGTGTTCCCCTGAGATAGTATCATTCAATATAAAGCCCATAAATGTGTTAGCAAATCTCCATGTGACTTCTTCGCTATTTCAAAGACAGATTAAATTAGAAACTCACGGAAACTACTTATCTACTCATTTCTTCTCCCAGAGCATTATTTTCGCACTTGGATAAAAATTTAAGAAGCAAAGGAAATACATAGCAAATTTGTTCAGATTAGCATATTACCATTAACAGCAGAGGAGAGCTGCTCCTCACTTTTAGCAACAGCATTGCCACGCCCATCATATGCCAACCTCCTGCTCTTTATCATAAGAGGATAACCAAACATGTCCCCTGCTCGTCTAGCACTTTCAAGGTTATCAATCTGTTTGTGTTGTATTTCCCAGATAAGTAAGAATTATCAAATTTATATCACAGGGAAGATAAATAATAATGGCAATTCTTGCCACCACATGCGAACCTGCATAAACTTAGGAAGTGGGATACCGTGACGAGAAAAGTGGACCTTCTGAAGATATTTATCCTGTTACAAGAAAGCATAAATGAACCAAGCAAAGAATTGTTGTTTGTATGAGTAACCAACGAAATAATCTTAGCATTGCAGAGCAATTAACATTCTTTCGTCCAAACTAAGACATATTAAAAGACTAACCTGTATTATGCGAATAGTCGAAGCCTTGGGTTGACAATCCACACCTTGTTGCTCAAGCTTCTCAAGTGTGGCAACGTCAACATGCTCAATCTCAACCGTTAGTACTTCACACCTGCTATGACATCCAAATTAGCTAGTTTCAAAAATCAAAATCGAAAAACATATGACTAGTAAAAACTCAACCTTTTCCCAAATTCTTCAACTGTGGCACTGTCATCATAGCTTCCCACCACATGTTGATGTGCTAGTGCGCTAGCAGGACACTTCTCCATTGGGTCCAAGACAATCACTTTGATTGCCATTTGGGATGCTGCTTCACACAGCATACGACCCAGCTGCCCTCCTCCCAAAACACCCACAACCGTTTCTGATAGTCCATGGACTGCTGAACCACTGCATCAAATTTGACAGTTAGACACATTCCAGAGCACCATCAACAAGAACCATATAAAAGTACTCCCTATGTTTCAATTTGTTTGTCTGGTTTTGACTTACATAGTTTAAAAGACTTTTGAATCTTGAAGTCTTAAACTTTAAACCTACGTAGAATGTCGCGTCTTAAATATGTTAAGTGCAAAATTGGAAAACAAAGTTCTTTCGAAAACGGACTAAAAAGGAAAGTAAAACACACGAATTGAAACGTTTTTTTCATAGCAACGTTCATGAAGAGCACATTAACATATAAACTCCAAATTGCAAGAAGTAGCCAGAATATGAATAAAATTTCAAAAACAAAAAAGGAACACATCAATTTCAATAAAACCCCAAGAAAAAACTAGCAAATAAAGCGTCAAATTCAAGTTAGCGCCACCCCACCAAAAAAACACACACACAAGAATCAATTAGCAAAAAGGATTATATGCATTTTTCACCAAGAACTAATCACTAACATATTAAAAATACAAACTTTTAAAGATTCTTGAGCAACCCCATATCAAATTAAGTACCTGGGTGAGTCATGTACCACTTCCAATGAAGCTCTACAAGACAATATAGGAGAGCTATTCTGAGTTTGCTGCGATGACGAAAACAAAACACGCTGATTTTTGTCTATTGTACGAAAAAGAACTCTCTTTTGAGCAAAAATTGTAGAAACGAAAGACATTCTTTGATGTACAGAAATAGTTGGGAGAGTGTTGTTTAAGCTCAACATTGTCCTTTCTCTTCTTCTTTTTTTCCACCAACTGAGAAGCTGGGGGAGAACCTACCGCTTATATACGGCGGCCGGAGAAGTTGGGGATGAGCAGACCGGTGGTATACGGCGGTCGAAGAGGTTGGGGTTTAAAACTTCTTCCTTAACTTTTTTTCTAATATTTTTTTTTAATAAAAAAAACAAAAATTTATTGAAAAAAAAAAGTAGTGTCACAAAAATAACATCTGATTATTGATTTCTTCTCAGACTTTTAGTAGGCGTTTGGCCATGCGATTTTATGCTAATTTCATCTCACGATCCATATTCTCCAAAAATCATGATATGGAATTATATGGGAATTCCATATCATGATTTGAGATATTTTAATACAAAAATTAATCCACGAGTTTATATTTTGTTAAAACAACTCCACATTTATATCTACTAACCATTTATTTCATATATAAATAAAATTTATAATCACATTGCATTGTGTTGGAATCACTATTTTTATTACTCTTACAAACATTATTTTTATGAAGTGCATTCTATAATGCTTTCAATTTATTTTTTGTTCACTAAAATAATATTGATGTATTTTTTATTTGGTAGGATTGTGTTGGTGCGATTGATGGAACTTATATAGAAGGGGAGGTTCCTAAAGCGGTGCAACAAGCATATCGTAATCGCAAAGAAAGAACATCACAAAATGTCTTAAGTGCTTGTGATTTTGATATGCAATTTACCTTTGTTGTTGCTGGTTGGGAAGGTACTGCACATGATAATAAAGTACTTGAGAATGCACTTGTTGAACCAACGTCACAATTTCCATTTCCGCCACATGGTAACTTTAAATTATATCCTTAGAATAAATATTATTTATTTACACAAAGTTGACTCATTTACGTCACATATGCTTTTAGTAATTCTTTATAAAATATTTGTTGGTAGATAAATATTATGTTGTTGATGCTGGTTTCCGAAACACAAAAGGATTTTTAGCTCCATACAAAGGACTACGTTATTATTTGCAAGATTACCGAGGAAGTGAAAGAGAGCCTCAAAATGCCAAAGAACTGTTTAATTATAGGCATTCATCTCTGCGCAATGTGATTGAACGGACTTTTGGAGCTTGGAAAAATAGATTTAGAATACTGAAACAAGGCATGAACCATTATGATATTGATACACAAGTGAAAATTGTCATAGCTTGTGCAGTGTTACATAATTATTTGCGAGAATACCAAAGTACTGATGAAATATTTATGGTCTATGAGCATGAAAATATAGTTGCGGATGATATTGACCAACAAATGGCTCAAAGTAACAATATTGGTTCGTCTTTTCGTTCACATGATCGAGAAATGCAAGTTCAACGTGAGGAAATTGTCCGTACTATGTGGGAGGATTATATTAAAGACTAGTACACTACAATTTATGTTCAATTTCTTTTTATTAAATTAAAGTTAGATGAAACAATTACTTAAGTAGAGAATAAATAGCTTTGTAATAATTTATTATGCGATTTTATAACTTTTTGTTTATTTGATAAGATTGAATAAACAATTGAGACTATTTTATAGTTTTACAACTTATGAAGATTTTTATGTTTATGAGAAAATATACAACACAAAAATTTCATATCGCATGTCCAAACAAAACTTCAATTTCATTTCATGATTCCATATCGCATGGCCAAACGGGCCCTTAAACAAGTTTTAAATCCAAAATTTAATATCCCAATTTTAATCATTGATCTCATTCTACCACCCGTTAGAATCGTTAATACGGGTTAGGTCGGTTGGGTCGATTTGATTCAATTTGTGATTTCATAAAAATTGATATTTTACACAAATTTCATAGGGTTAAGAACTAATTACATCATATTTCTATTATTTTTTTCTAAATTACAAAAATCTCTTAAATTTGGTTGAATTTAGATACATTCCAAAACATCCCGATACATCACGTCTCAATTTCAGATACAATCATCAACGTTCCAATACATCACGTCTCATTTCGGATCAACCATCAACGTTCCAATACATCGCGTCTCGTTTTGGATACATCCTGATACATCGCGTAAAGTGATATATCCAAAATAGAATGATAAGAATTTTTGTAATTTTTTCTAATGGTAGGAAATTTGCTACTTGATCAATATCACAACAAATTGGATTACAATTATTGTGCTGAAATTTTACCAACTCACAATATATAGAACAAAATAGATAATGTTTTATGATTTACTTCTAATATCATAGTGTTCTATCACATTAAGATAAAGTTTCTTTGACTAATTGCAACTCTTTAATAACATCACTAATTCTCATTCTTTCTTTTGGTGAATCTATAGTGCAAGCAATCCCAATTTTACACATACAAATTGAACACTCTTCAATGTAATCTTTGGTTTTCATTTCTTGCAAGTTGTGGTAAACCATTTGATCAACAATTTCCATGACTCTACCAGTAGAATAAGCCATTTTAGCATAGTTGTGAAGGTTCGATCCATTTGAAAAGGCGTCGTCTGTCGGTTTTTTCCCTGTTAACATCTCCAGTATGATGATTCCATAGCTGTATATGTCACCATAAGTTGATACTTCACTTACCATTCCATATTCTGCAGAAAAAAAATCATTAGTCCATATCAAAATCACTCCGTTTTATATTTGTCTGGTTTGGACTTGCCACGAAGTTTAAGAAAGTATGTAAGACTTTTGAATATTACGATCTTAAACATAGTATGATCTTAAACATGTCAGGGGGAAAGTTGGAATGTGAGAGCTGCTAAAAAAGGGAAAGAGATGTTTACCTGGAGCTGCATAGCCAACTGATCCTTTGATACCAATAGTGCTAGTTTCTCTTTGAGATGTTTCTTGGAGGAATCTTGATAAACCAAAATCGCCAACACGGGCAGTCATGTTCTTGTCTAGAAGGACATTGCTTGGCTTCAAATCACAATGAACCACTGGTGTTTGGGTTCCATGATGAAGATAATCTAGCGCGAAAGCAATGTCTGATGCAATGTTTACTCTCTGATAAAGATCTAGATATCGAACGTGCTGCAGACTTCCATCATTAGAAAATGAATGTAGCCAATCGTCTAGGCTACCGTTAACCATGAACTTGTAAACGAGGGCCTTAAAATCATTGCCCTGAAAGTTAGTACCTGAGCATGCAGTTACTAACTTGACGAGATTTCTATGCCTGAGGTTCTTTAAGACTTCACATTCTGCAATGAAGCTCTTCAAAGCTCCTTTATGCTGCAAATCGAGTACTTTGATCGCGACAGTTTTTTCATCTGGACCAAGAATTCCCTTGTATACAGAACCAAAACCACCCTTACCAATTAAATAATCTGAGGAGAATCCATTAGTTGCTTTTAGAAGTTCCCCGTAGGAGATTTTCAAGAACGAATCATCTGATAAATCGAGTGAAGGGCTATGTTTCCTCTTTAAGAAACACAAAATTAGGAGCACCAGAACAAGTGCTACTCCAAATAATGCACTAGCAACAGATATAGCTATCTTCAAGGTTGATGACATTAATCTTCCCTTCTTTGATGTTGGAAAGTTGCATTGTGGTAGTTTTAGCGCGGAAGAACCTCCACAAAGATTTCTGTTTCCGTTGACTATTGCTGCACTTGCATTACTGAAAACTCCTTCTCGAGGTACTTCACCCTCAAAATTGTTAAATGACAGGTTTAAGCTTTTCAAGGATATGAAAGTTTCAAAGTACTTTGGAATAAGACCAGAGAAATTATTACGCGACAAGTCCAAATACTCCATCCCTCTCAAAGAACTTAAAGATGATGGTATCACACCTTCAAACATGTTTCCCTGAACATAGAGGTTTTCCAACTTGATGCAACTGCTTAAAGTACTTGGAAGCTTTCCAGATAACTTGTTCTCGGAGATATCAAGATACCCGAGATTGACTAAACTTCCTACTTCAAGGGGAAGAGATCCACTCAACTGGTTTCCAGACAGGTCTAGTTGGATAGACAAGGATGAGATACTAAGAACCTCTTTTGGTATCGTCCCACTGAGTCTATTTCGAGAAAGATACAACATTTGCAACAACTGACAGTTACCAAGAACTGAAGGAATGGTCCCTTCTAAGTTGTTTTGAGCTAGATTAAGTCCATACAAAGATGTTATGTTTCCAATAGAGGAAGGGATTTCCCCCGAGAGTTTGTTTCCGTTAACATAGAAGTACTTGAGTTTTTGAAGTTTACCAAGACTAGCTGGAATTTCTTCAGTCAATTGGTTATACTCCAAACTTACCACTTCCATGTTGCTGAGATCAACAAATCCATCAGGTATTCGTCCGAATAGTTTGTTCCTAGCAAAACCAATAGACCGGAAATTGGTTAAGTTGCCAATATTCTTAGGCAGCTGGCCTGCTATATTATTCACACTCAAACTCAGTTCTTTAAAACTGGTAATGTTAACCAATGAAGAAAAGAAATCCATGTCATCTTCTCTTCCGGTTCCAAGATTATTGAAATGCATAGCTAGTCCTTGAAGATTACGGAGCTTTTCCAGAGAAGGGATTTTCCCGGACAACTGGTTTCTTGATAAAGAGAGAATTTCAAGATTGGTTAAGTTAGAAATGGAACTTGGAAGCACACCACTTAATAAGTTTGAGAACAAAAGAACTATGCGAAGACTCGGAAGAGTGGATCCAATATCAGTGGGAAGACTTCCTTTAAGTTGGTTAACTGGTGCAGCAAGATGATACAGAGAGGATAAGTTAAAAACTGAAATGGGAATTGAACCAGAAAGCATATTACCACCAAGAGAAATATAACTCATGTTAGTCAATTGGCCTAACGAATACGGTATACTTCCTTCTAATCTATTCTCTACTGCTGCTAAGGCAATAAGGGATGAAAGATTACCCAAAGAATATGGTAGTTCACCTGTTAAATTATTTGATCTAAGAAAAAGTACCTGAAGATTTCTCAAAGACAAACCAAGCTCCACGGGGATTTTCCCGGTCAGTGAATTACCATCCAAATCAAGATAAATGAGTCTAGTGCAATTTGATAGTTCCACAGGAATTTCACCAGTAAATGAGTTGTCCTTGAGCACTAAATTCTTCAACCTGAATAGCCTTCCGATTTCGTGTGGTATCTCACTATGGAAGGTGTTATTTTGAAGAATTAGTTCTCTAAGAAAACTCATATTTCCTATCTGAGGAACTAATGTTCCTACAACCTGCTTAGAGCTTAAATCCAGCAGAGTCACCCTTTGATGTCGAGCACTACATGTAACGCCTTGCCAACTACAATGATGGAAGGAATCATTCCAAGAATTCGTAACACCAGAAGGATCATATGTTATCTGTGCTTTGATGCTGAGGAGGGCTAACCGATCCGTTTCATTTCCAGCAAGCCTGGAAGATGCATCTACAGAAAGAACACATAATAAGCAAGAAAACATAACACAAAGGAAAACATTAAAAGACTTCATGCCTGCAGCAATATGTGGAGTAGAAAAATTCAGGAGCAGTTCAAGTTTTAAGGCAAAAAAGAGACAACAGCCGGCTAATGAGAACATATATATATATATATATATAATTATCATAGAAACAACAACGCGGAATATGTTTTATTCTAGTCAACTATCATCATTTTTTAAAGGTGATTGATGGTTAGAGAGACAAATGTCCAGATATATGAAGCAAATTAGGGGTCAAAGCTCCAAAGGATTATGAAAATGACTTCTTTTAATACTTCTATTTCACTTTCATGTCATATAAACAATACACTATAAAACAAACACATTCAAAAGCAGCTGCTCAAAGTTTTCTTAATCTAGCATATAAAGAACAGAACACTTCCAAGAATGATCGATATGATCTAGCGTTTACTCTGCAGTATCTGATGGTGATTGCTGATTACTGAGTGTCAATTTAACTAAGTCTTTTGGGGAAAAAATGCAACAAATATATGCTTCAACACAGAGAAGGCAACATAACTCATGCTTCTTTAAATAGTCCTAAAGAGTAACAAGATACGCAGTGTAATCTCATAAGTGGGGTATGGGAAGACAGAGTGTAGGCAAAGGTTACCCCTAACTTGGGAGGTAGAGAGGTTGTTTCGATAAACCATCAATTCAAAGAAAAACATATCAAAGCAGATCGAAAAAGTCCTAAAGAGCATCTTGATGAAAGAATGCAAAGGGATAATAGATCACTTTGATTGTTAACCTTTTTTTTCAAATTTAAGTCTTACTCTATATCCGTTTCTCAAATGTATAGAATGAAAAAGAGGACGTCACAAGTGACCACATATGATGTGTTAATTAGACGCATGTCACGAGTTAGAACTCTGTCCACTGAATTTCAAACCATGTGACAAGTGGCCTTTGAGAATTTCTCGATTGTCAAAAAGTAAATAAAGCAAAAAGAAGGAATCAAATATTAGAAAATAAAGCAAGGATGTATGCAACATTTGAGAAGCATAAACTGATAAAAGTAGACCAAGAGGACATACACTAATTACAAATCCAGACTATGGAAAAATCCTTAGTAGAAAGTGCTTGTACAGAATGGACCCCGAGCCGTATGAATTCAGATTAATCAGACTCTAAGACAGTATCGACACTAAATAAGAAACCCAAAAATAAGAAATAGAGCATCCTTATTAAGCTAACTTTTCAAGGTTTATTTTACGAATTTGAAATAACTTGAAATTTAATACAATAATCTTTTAACATTTCATGTTGTCATTTTTATTTTTAAAATAGTTATTGATGTGATATGAAAAAAAATGGATCAATTAATAGGGAGCATAACATGAATTAGAAAGAAAGAAAAAAAGATCATGGAAAAGTTGAAACCACATTGACCAGTAAACTAATGGGTCATTTGATAACTAGTAAAGAGGTAGCTTATCCATTGATTAATTTTTGTCTAAGGTATATAATGGTCGGTAGCTAGTTAGGAAGTAAGTCAGTAATTTATTTATATAAAAAAACTATATTACGTCTGGTTTGTAATTTAGAAACCCGCGTAACTAATAATATTCTACCAAATCACCATTCTAATATTGATAAAAAAAAAACAAATACTTTCTAACTTGGACTAAGCAAACACAACTTACTACGTGCCATTCAAAAGTACTTAAGACAAAAGGCAACAACAACCACATAATCAATGTAATCATATAGGTGGAGTACATGGAGGGTGGAGTGTACGTAGACCTTACTTTCTTTTGTGGAGATACAGAGGTTGTGTATGATAGATCTTCGGCTCAAGTAACACATTTCAAACCGGCTTGAAAGAAGAATTATAAAAACGAAGAAGACATGATAACTAATAAGGAAAACATTACATAACATTTAAAACACAGAACAATAGATAACCAAAATACAAGTAACACGTGTGATAACATAAATAGAAGGACAAGAAACTACGAGAATAGTGCTAATATTACTTATAAGAAAGTAGAAACAAATACAGTGCTCCAAACTACCACCAAGCCTAACCCACGTAAAAGCAAGTCCAAAACCTCCAATCTAATGTCATCATCATGTCCCATGCAAGCCCAATACTTCATGTATTGTCTAATTACCACCACGTCATCCCTCAATATGTTTTTGGCCTACCTCTATCTATCCTAACACCCACCATTGTAAACCTCTTGTACTTTCTCACTAGGATATCTACACATTTTTTTCACATGCCCAAACCATCTCAATTTTACTTTCCTCTTTTTCACCACATATGTCACTCCCATCTTATTACAAATATTTCCATTCATAATATTATGTCCCTTAGTATGTCCACATATCTATTTCAACATCCTTATTCCCACAACTTCATCTTTTGAACATGAGAGTTCTTAACTAACCAACACTCTACCCTATATAACACAGTCGGTCTAACCACCACCAGGGGCGGAGGCAGCATATACTAAGGGGGTTCATTCAAACCCCCTTCGGCGGAAAATATTACTATTTATACCTGGTTTAATTTTTTTTTTAGGTATGTATAATAGATGTCGAGCCCCCTTCCACTAGTTCGTGTGTTTACTTCTCATATTTTAAACCCCTTTATTAAAAATCATGGCTCCGCCACTGACCACCACTATGTAGATTTATCTTCAAGTTTTGGTGGTGCTTTCTTATCACACAAGACTCCAAAGGCGAACCTTCATTTTGTCCATCCCACACCAATACGACATGTGACATCATCATCAATCTCCCATTATTTTGGATTAAAAAATTTGAGATACTTCAACATCCTCTCTGGGAGATGACATGAGTATCAATCCCCATTTTCACGCTTACCTCATGCGTCGTATCAAATACTAAACTTATGCTCAAAGTAATCTATTTTGATCCTGTTCAACCTGAACCTTTTAGATTCCAAGGTCTGTTGCTAAGCCATCCGTCTCTAATCAACTCCACTATGAATCTTGTCAAACAATACTATGTCATATATAAATAATATATACCATGACACACCATCTTAAATATGTCGCATCAATTTATCTATTACCAAGGTAAACAAACAATTTCTAATTAAAAAATACTTCTAAAATAAAGAGTTTTAAATCTTGGCCAAAGAAGTTATTGCTTGATTGATAACTTTAACCAAGTTAAACTTTTGGGAGAATATGACATGACTTGTACTGAAAACAAAATGCATTCAATTACTCTTAACATAGACAACAATTATTCCTTAAAAATAGTACAAATTCCCAGCAACATTAAAAGTAAAAAAGTGAAAAAGAGAACAAAATCTGAAAAAATAATAATACCCACAGTATATTGATTTCTTCTTAAACTACTACTACTTTCTACATTCTTTTTTACTTTTTTCAATTTCACTTTTATTAAATTATTATTTTCGAAATGTACTAAAGTACTGAGAATCAAATTTAGATTTTTAAAACATAACTAATAAGAAAAATTTGTAAAATATTTTAATTGATTTTTGAGGGGGCACAAAATACAATTCAACGAGTAAAAGAGAACAAAATGAATATCTTCAACAAAATAAAACACTCAGTAACCTTAACATTTATGTTATCATATAACTTTTTGAGTAAATTACTCGACTTTATTGCAAATGCATTTTTATGTTTTAAAGTCACATATCCATATCTCATTTATGATGAAAATGCTACCAAGTATAGTATATCCTTATTTTCGAAACTAAACACTTTAAACCTTTAATTTATTTATACATAGAAATCATACACACACAAATCTTCATTTAAATTTATTTCATCGAGAAAATGAAAAAGCACCCTCAATAAAAATATGTTAAATCTATATATAAATGTCAATTAAACAAAATTGAAATAACTTGTATGTACAAAATGCAAAAAAGTTAGAACTATATATTTTTAATATATTATATTGAGTAGTTTTTTATTTGGCTTACGTCACTACTCGTTGAATAAGTGCTCCAGTTACTTTAATTGCAATTTAAGAATCTAAGACGAGCTTAATTCTTTCATTTTATTAATAATAATACTAAACTTTCAAAAGAAGAGTGAAGAGATTAAACTTTTGAAATTGATAGCCTAAAGAAAATTGTTCATAAAAAACAAGATTAGAGTGTAATTTTTTAATAAAAAAATTGATGTCTATTTTGATCAATATTTATTCTTTTCTTTTTTAAATCATAAATATGACCAAACAATATCAGCCAAAAGTAAGTATTATCCATAAAGTTGAACGATAAAAAGTTGCGTATTTATAATTTATAAAATTACATTAGATATGCTATTATTGTTTGTAGTTATTCTATTTTATTACTAATAGTTGAGGGGAAAACAATGATATCTCTTACATATAAGCTACAATTTGAAGAACTTGAGATAAATACATGTGCTTATTGAATTTAATATTTTGTGGGAGTTTATTTTATGTCCTTTAAATGTTTTTGAAGCTATTGGTTGTTGTATTAGTTGCCTCAGAGAGCATCTGTGTTTCTTATTTTCACTTATATTCTTGATTAAAAGATGATTTATCGTAGGAATAATTGAGTCATTCAATTTATAATGGGCAATATAATTGTCTAAAAGAGAATCTTATTATAGCTTTTCTACAAATAATGTTTTTCAAAAACAAATACTTAAATACTTCTTAAAATATATATTTCTCAAGCAGTATATTTATAGAAGATTATAATTGTATAGATTAAGAAATAAGCATCAATATAAAGATTGAATCTTGCCTATAAAAAACGGGGGTTGTAACTTGTATCTACACTTAAGCCATGCTACAAATATATTTTGTATAATTTCTTATCTTTATTTTAAAAAAACTAAAATGACATATGCTAGCAAATGACAATGTAATGAAGTTAATAATTTGTCAAAATTGGTAGTAAAGTAAATGATAAATCATGGCCAGATAAAATGCATGCAACAAAATAGATTATATTGCAAATATTTATAAGGTAAAAAAGTTTCAAAATACAGTCAAATTAGAGAGAATTATATTATATCGCAAATATTTATAAGGTAAAAAAATTCAAAATATAGTCAAATTAGAGAGAATTGATTTCGTAGGTCAGTTATAATTTCTTTTCTTTTTTAATTTAATGATTAAATTAAAATGCAGACAACAAAATAAATCATATTGCACATATTTAGAAGGTAAGTAATTCCCTAAACAGACATAAGTTAATTAAGGAGAATTTAGTTTTGTAGGTAGTTTACTTTATATATTTTTTAATCTCATGGTCCTTTTTTTGATAAAAAAAATTATTTTTACACATAAATGATTTAATAAGTTTTCATTTGTTTAAAACTATTATTTCAATTTGCAAGTGACTACCATCATTTGGAAGCTAAATCAACCATGACAAAGTTGAAATCCAGACAACAAAATAAATTGGAGAGAATTGATTTCGTAGGTGTCAAATTAAAATACAGTCAATGAACTAAATCACATTGCAAGTATATCAGGTAAGTAAATTTCAAAAGACACATAAGTCAAGAAAAAATAATTTCGTAAGTTATTTACATATTTTCTTTAATTTCATATTTTTCTTTATAAAAAAATCTTTAATTTTAACACTTTGAATATTTATAAAGTAAGTTATTTACATATTTTCTTTAATTTCATAATTTTCTTTATAAAAAAATCTTTAATTTTAACACTTTGAATATTTATAAAGACTACTTTTATATATATTCAAGTTGCAAGTGATTACTATCAAATTGGAGAGAATTAATTTTGTAGGTCATTAATTTCATGGTAAAATTAAAATATAGTCAACAGACTAAATCACATTGCAAGTATTACAAGGTAAGTAATTTTTAAAAGACACATAAGTCAAGAAAAAATAATTTCGTAAATTATTTACATTTTTTCTTTAATTTCATAATTTTCTTTATAAAAAATCTTTAATTTTAACGTATAGAATTTTTATAAAGACTATTTATATATATATTCAAGTTGCAAGTGATTACTATCAAATTGGAGAGAATTGATTTCGTAGGTCATTAATTTCATGGTCAAATTAAAATGCAGTCAACGAATTAAATCACATTGCAAGTATTACAAGGTAAGTAAATTTCAAAGGACACATAAGTCGAGAAAAATAATTTCGTAAGTTATTTACATTCTTTCCTTAATTTCATATTTTTCTTTATAAGAAATCTTTAATTTTAACACATAGAATATTTATAAAGACTATTTTTTATATATATATTTAGTTGCAAGTAATTACTATCAAATTGGAGAGAATTGATTTAGTAGGTCATTAATTTCATGGTCAAATTAAAATGGAGCCAACGAACTAAATCACATTGCAAATATTACAAGGTAAGTAAATTTCAAAAGACACGTAAGTCAAAAAAAAATATTTCGTAAGTTATTTACATTTTTTCTTTAATTTCATAATTTTCTTTATATTTTTTTTTTCATTTTAACACATAGAATATTTATAAAGACTATTTTTTTTTATATACATTCAAGTTGCAAGTGATTATCAAATTGGAGAAAATTGATTTCGTAGGTCATTAATTTCACGGTCAAATTAAAATTCAGTCAACGAACTAATTAATCACATTGCAAATATTACAAGGTAAGTAAATTTCAAAAGACACGTAAGTCAAAAAAAATATTCGTAAGTTATTTACATTTTTTCTTTAATTTCATAATTTTCTTTATAATTTTTTTTTCATTTTAACACATAGAATATTTATAAAGACTATTTTTTTTTATATATATATTCAAGTTGCAAGTGATTATCAAATTGGAGAAAATTGATTTCGCAGGTCATTAATTTCACGGTCAAATTAAAATATAGTCAACGAACTAATTAATCACATTGCAAATATTACAAGGTAAGTAAATTTCAAAAGACACGTAAGTCAAAAAAAATATTTCGTAAGTTATTTACATTTTTTCTTTAATTTCTTAATTTTCTTTATAAACAAATCTTTAATTTTTACACATAGAATATTTATAAAGACTATTTTTTAATATATTCAAGTTGCAAGTGATTACTATCAAATTGGAGAGAATTGATTTCGTAGGTCATTAATTTCATGGTCAAATTAAAATATAGTCAACGTACTAAATTACATTGCAAATATTACAAGGTAAGCAAACTTCAAAAGACACACAAATCAAGAAAAAATAATTTCGCAAGTTATTCACATT